GAATGTTAGTATATATATACATATATACAAACATGCATAAAGAGGAATGTCAGCAACCAAAGGGCATCATAAATAAAACATTCATTTAATTAGAGAATTGAGCAGCTCCTTACAGATTTACTGGGGAATTTTACTAAACATAAATTCAAATAAACATGATACGCGGCAAAATTACTACGTTGATTTTAATATTTTCTACTACATTTTTTGCAAACTGAAATTATTTTTAATATATTAAATTTGTGAAAATTATCCAAAAACTTTCTTCACTGTAATCAGAATTATAGTATAATGCAATTTAAAAATGTTTTTAATTGGAATGAAATGTGTTAAAGAAAATTTTAATGTTTCCGCTCGATATATAAATTCTGAGAATTCTGTCACACTGAGTTCTGACAATGTAATTTAATTTTGAAATTTACAAAAACATCATTTGAACTAAATATAACATATTAAATTAAAAATTAATAAATTGAACACTGTTAGGGCTACGAAATCCCGTATATGTAGAATAATGGTCAACAAACAAATTATATTTGTATAAGAGAAGATACTATTTAACTCCATTGATTTTCCTCGACACATGCATACACACCTTTGGTTTCCCATCTTTAAATTGTAAATGTTCATTGTGGACACTCGAATATACATTCATTAACACAAACACATCAGATTAAGAAAAAACTTAGTCTTTTAAAACTAAGTAAGTAATTAAGCTAAATTGAGTATTTGGAATAAATAAAAAAAAAACATGTACGGATATTATAAATACATGCATAAGTTGTATTTACTCAAAACATGACAACTTTAGATTCAAATAAAACAATAAAAGAAAAATACACAAAAAAGCCCATAAAATGGGGCAAAATAATTCTGATAAAACCCAAAATAAAATAACAACCATCAACTATATGACATTTTTAATCATAAATATAAATTATTTTATTGAAATTAAGTAAAATTTGCAAAAAAGAAAAACGAAAACACAAAAATTATATTGTTTATTTTCATCTTGAGAAATAAAGTTTTAAAATCATATAAAAATAGTAAAAAAAAAAAACACTAGATATTTTTTAATTGGGTGGAAACAGTATTTGCACTTGTGAATAATTTGAGAGTTCAATGTGCAACGAAATTTAAAACTAAAATCAAATCATAAGCAATTATGTATAAGATATTTTATATACATATGTAAATAATAGAAACCTTCCCAGTCGCTATCACTGTTATAATGTGCTCGTCCGTGTCTATCTGTTCAATCAATGACATTAGTATTGCCTCCAAAGTAGGAAAATTTGTGATCACCTGATCAATTTCGTTACTCCTTTACGTTGTCATTCCCAGCTGTGTTTGCCATAGAACGTAAATACAACGAGAAGGTTTGCTGGTGCCGCTAAGAAGGTTCTCCCATCCCACAATCTTATGTTGGCAACAGATGATGTGCAATAGGCACTAATACCACATTGTAAATAATAAAATCCACTGAAATGATAATAACTTTAATGTTAAAAATTGAATAGAATTATTGTAAATTTTCCGTTGTCTTTCAATAAAATATTGGCAGCCGCTATAGCCGAGTGGTTAGCATTGCGTACTGCCATTCGAAAGGGCCGACCCATATCCAAAAATTATTGAAAATTAATTTAAATAAAAAAAGCTAATTTAAATTTTCTGATTGCGGTCACCCCTCGGCAGGGAATGTCAACCCCTTCTAGTGTATTTCTAACATGAAACATGAAACTGTAAGTCCCTCTATTTATTGGAAAAAGGTTAAGGCGCCTACAACGAATTTTAGGAGAAGATCGGCCAAAAATCGCTTCTGTGATTACTAAGTGCCAAATATATATTTTATACCGATGCCCAGTGCATATTGAATTTATGGAGGGAACACTTCTCGAAGTTCGAATAGCAATCGTCCGCTTAAAAAACAATAAAGCGGCTGGAGCTGACGGCCTACCGCCAGAACTATTCAAACATGGCGGTGCAGAGCTGACAAGATGCCAGCATCAGCTACTTTGCAGAGAATGGTCAGACGAAAGCATGCCTGACCATTGGAATTTAAGTGTGCTCTGCCCAATCCATAATAAAACACACCGTAAACAAACTAATTGGACCTTATCAGTGTGGCTTTAGACCTGGTAAGTCAATCATTCACCAGATATTCACCATGTGCCAAATCTTGGAAAAGATTCGTGAAAAGATGATCGACAACCAACACCTCTTCGTCGATGTTAAAGCCGCCTTCGACAACTCGAATTGGAGCTGCCTTTACGCCTCTATGTCTGAATTTGGTATCTCCGCAAAACTTTTACGGCTATGTAAACTGACGTTAAGCAAAACACTAAAAGCTCTGTCACCTCTCCGAGCCGTTCGATACCAAACAAGGTTTCAGATGGAGTGATAGGTTATGATGTGAATTTTTTACTTATTGCTGGAGAAAATAATACGAGCTGCAGAGCTGAATAGAGAAGGCACAATCTTCTATAAGAGTGTACAGCTGCAGTCCAACGGAGCACCTGTTGGCAAGAGAAAACCTGCGTTGGATTTCCATGCTGACATTGTTGTTGGTGTTAATACTGGTTCCAAGATATACGAAGTTATCTACGACTTCAAAGTTATGACTGTCAACACTGACATGAGAGTCCAGTCGAAAATGCGATTGTCTGTTTGTACGAGGCAGGAGATATTTCATCCTGCCCTCGTTCACTACCAGACCCATGCACTTTTCTTCCTTATCCAGTATGGAGAAAATATAACTAACAGCGCGATTCTTGCGGCCAATGATGTCAATACCATCGGCGCCAGCATCTGTATACTCTTATAAAATATTGTACCTTCTCTATTCAGCTCTGCAGCTTTATCATTTTCCCCAGCAATGAAAAAATCGTTTGGCATCGAACGGCTCAGAGAGGGCCTTCAGTGCCTTAAACTTCTTTTCATTGATTTGGCGCATGGTCAATGGTTGATTTCCTAGGTTTAAAGCCACACTGATAAGGTCCAATCACTTAGCTGATGGTGGGCTTTAGTTTCTTGCGATATTAAAGAAACTGTTGGCTTGGTAGTTGGCACAGACAGCGAGATCCTATCTTTTGTGCATTTCATCCGACCATTTTTTGTAGAGAAGCTTATCAGCTTTGAATAGTCTGACAGGTAATCAGTCGGCCGCCTTGTTACTTTTTAAGCGGACCATTGTTTTTCGAACTTCTTTATGTTCCATCATCATCTAGTGGGGAATCAGGCTCGCCACCTCTTGCTGCTTCATTTTCACTGTAATTCTGCAAGCGGTCTACCCTTCATAATTCAGCACCAAATGCCGGTGGCCATGGTAGCCGAGTAGTTAGCATTGCGTACTGACATTCGGAAGGCTCGAGTTCAAGTACTAATGTCGTACTAACACCCAAAAAGTTATAGAAAATTAGTTTACATAAAAAATTAATTAAATATTCTAATTGCGGTCGCCCCTAGGCAGGGATTTTCAACCCCTTCGAGTTTATTTTTGACATGAAATTAAGTTTCTCATAAAAACAACAGCCAATTGGAGGCGGCTTAGTACAAACTTTAGGTTCCTCCATTGCCAAGCGCAAATTATATATATATAACTAGATCCCCTCTCTGCGTCCTTCTTTAAATTGTCGTAACTTTTCGTAGAATTTTCGAGCATTACCCTTGTCAGCAAAAGTGTACTTAGGCAGATTTAAATTCAGCCCTACATTTCCCTTATACCGATGCATAGAGGCGGTGCATAGTGGTCGGAGTCAATGTTAGGTCCTCAGAGTGAACGCACGTCAAGAACAGTAGAGACATGCCTTCTGTCTAACACTTTTATTTTTTTGTATTTTTCAATCAGGAGGCAGCCAAGTAGCTTAATGAATTTTCTTGTGCTGGAGCTATAGACATCTATATTTCAGGCCCCGGCGAAGTCGACTAGCCTCAACCCATGTGGGGATGTTTCATTGTGGAGGTAGAACATAACGGCAGATGTACCAATCGTTGCGTTAAAGTTGTGGCGTTTGTAAAAGGTATACTTGGCCCCATTTTCCTTCTCTTCCATCGGGGCGTGGCGCAAATCAGATGTTAAAATATTTCGCTTTGATGCGGATTGTAGCGGGACCTTCATCAAGTGGGATGAATGCCAATACTCGGCGACGGAGTCTCTCTCCCGCAAATCGGACTCCAACTTTGCGTTTTTTAACATGGGCCCAGTAATAAATATCACTAGGATCTAGACGCTTCCATCCTTGTCCCGTTCATCGCATTTAGTTTAGCGAGGACATCAACCGGCTGTGCGGCGGCACCTCCTCAATTAAGGGATCGGACAATCCAGGAGCATTTCTATCAAATCGTGATCACAGGTATCACATACGAGACGTCGTGTTGCTTTTCCAGCTCCAATGAAGGCGAGCAAGTTTACATTATTTTACACGGCTGCATTTATGTTGTTGTTGTTGTAACCGCAAAAATATTCCCCAAAGTTTCGGGAGCGACAGTCCTTGCCTGGATTAAAATCTGGGTCGTTCCGGCGCAAGACCCAACTGTCGCGGGAAGTACAGTATTATAGTCGTCTCTTACGACAGGCATGCCTTACCTGCAGGGGGGGGGGGGGGGGGGAGGAGGGCTATAACCATTTAAATAACCAGCCGCTTGCTTCAAGTCCGTCGTCCGCTCGCAACCACGCCTTTTGCGAACAGACGCAGTATTTATGTATCAGCGAACCTCTATACTTCAGTTAAATCCTGTACAAGCATTTTCAAACTAGAGTTTAAGGAGCTGGACATGCATTGTACCGTATTTTGCCGTTCTTCAATTTTATCCTGTCGCGCCTTGAGTTATGTGCTCTCTGTTACCAATCCCTTTGAAGCTGTATTGGCTGAAAAAAATGCGCACTTATCTCTATGAAAGATAATGTGTTACTGACGCAGAGAAATACTCATATCTGACATTACCTTAAGGTTGTCTAGTTAGGAATTTGCGTTTTACAACACTGCCACTATTATGCAATTGTCAAATTGGCATTTGGAAAACACCTGAATGTTATAATTCAGTTATTTACTTTGGTTTCTAAATGTCTTTATTAGCAACTTTTAGCAAGTAATGAATAAAGTCTAAATAATATTTAGATTAGCATTATATCTGTGCTATGCTATAATTCAATTGCAGGTTGGCGTTACAGTCATCACTTCGTCAAGTGAGTTGCACTGCCATTAGCCGGCTTCAAGTAAGTCCAATATTGTATGCCGAGCCTTTGAAGAAAAAGAAGAAACTCGACCCACAAATTATTAAACAACGAGAAGACAGACGTAAAAAGAAGTTGGAAAAGCAAATTCGGCGTTTGGAAAAAAATGCCAGGCAATTAAAACCAATAGAGGAACTTGAAGTTCCCCTTACTTTACTGGATGAGAGAGAGTACAATTACTATACGTAATAAGCGAGTATTTCCATTCATTTTTCTTTATTATAGCAAGCGTATTCGGAAACTGGAACCATTGAGTGAAGAAGAAATTGAAAGAAGAGCGCGACTTACTAAGAAATGGGCAACTTACAAGCATCAAGAGAAAGTATCCGACTTTCAAGCTATAGACAGGCTGCTACAATCCCAAAATAGAGCTCTCAACGAGTTGAGGAAAGAATCAGAAGAGCTTTATCAAGAGGCTATTCAAATAGATATGACACTTTTACCTGCTAAAACGTGTGGTCCAGTAGCAACTCCACCAATTAAAAATTATGTTAGTCCCGATGGAGATTACCACAAAGAAACAAAAAAATGGGATTAAGTTTATAAATTTGAAATTTATATTACATAGTTGTCGAAAATTTTGATAACTTCATTTATTCTACCTTTTGTTTGTTTTATATCATCGTATGAATTATTGCATTGGATTGGATCTTTCCCCCTTTTTATTATTAGTTGTAACCGCAAAGTATTTTCCGAAGTGTTGCAGCAGTGATAGTCTCTTGCCGGACACAATTTCAGGCCATTCCTGTATAAGGAACCGATTGCCGCAAAACAATTGGTTGCATCTTATGAAGCGGCTTTCGGCGAAGTTTCTTGACTATTTTGTGATGAGACTTTTGAAGTTTTTTCCACAAATGGAGCTACCTGCAGCTCTTTCTTAGCCGGTTCTGAACGGAGATGTTGACAGTTCATACCAAGAAGTGACGGCAGTTGAAAATATAAATTTTTAAATTATATATATATAATTGGCGCTTTGTATCCACTCAAGCGATTTTTTCGGGCGAGATCCTCCTCCTATTTGTGGTTTTGCGTTTTGAAGCTTTTCCCGAAAATGGAGGCAGTTTATACTAAGCCGCCTACGAACGACTGATGATTTTTATGAGCAGCCTTTATTCCATGTCCGAAATACACTCGGATAGGTGGACATGGTCTGCCGACGGGCGACCGCAATTAGAAAAATTAAACTCCATTTTTAATTAAAATAAATTTTCTATAACTTCTGGACGTTGGTCGCACGGTAATTCGAGCGCTCCGAATATCAGTACGCAACCAGTCGGCTACCGCGGCCGTGGTAAAATATCTAAAATTTATTAAGTTGCTCTTCTTTGTTCGAAGCCAGACACACCGCCTGGTTTTGTTATTGTTGTAGAAGCCTCCGTTAGAATAAATGCACTACTAGCTAATGCAGTCACGTTCTAATACTACGTTGCATATATCATCATTATTGCATTCATAAATTAACCAACCGTATCAAGCATTTTGCTAATGTTTAGGTATTAAGAAATAGCTATAATTCTTATTTTATAGAAGATACAACAAATCTTTATCTGAGTAGAAAAGTATTAGTGAGTGGAACTCCAATTAAGAAATGAAGTCAATTTTACTGCGTAGAATTGAAATCTTACAAATGTTAATGATAATCACTATAATTTATCAAGAAACATTAATGTGGTATTGAAGGATTAAGATGAAGGAGTAGATGTTTTTGCAGCCGCCTGACGTTTCTTCACACCCCAATTGTAAACACGGGCCATATTTACTTCCGTGGTTGTCAATTGATCTCTAAAAACACAACGTTATTGTATTATATTGTATAATTTTTAACATGTTTTTAAATGTACCTAAGAAAATCTTGATCGTGTTCCACAGTTTTCAGATTTACAACGGCAGAGCTCATGTTCTGTTTAAGAAGTTCTTCAGCTTCGTCTAATGGATACTCTAGCATCACACTAGCACCTAGCCAAAGGCATACTGTTTGCGTTGGTGGTACGAGCGTCTTTATAAATACTTGATCGCTAAGTAGAAACTGGGTTTCTCGCTCTTCTTTTTCTTCCCTTAGCACATTTATCATCTCTAATGAGCGTTGCAGATCTGGAATTTGTGATTTGAGCTTACGACGTCTTGCTTCTAGATTAAAAGCCATAAACCTATACTTGCTATGTTGCTCATCTAACCTCTGTAGAACTTTTTCACAATTATCTTCATTTTCTGGCTGTGCCATGAATGTATCAATTTCTTCCTGAAAATGGTAAAAGATGATTCAATATTTCTTAAGGTCCCTCGCACCACTTTCAAGTAATTAGGTTAGGTTAGTATAGGTGCCCAAACAAGGCGATTTATATTATATCTTACCAAAAACACAGCCTCAGGTATGCCGGCAAAGGACTTTTGATTTTCAGCCAATTTTGGCATTTCTATAGTGTCCATTATGCCAGTCATACTTTTTCAAACAGACTTAAAGTTTTAATTGAATAGATTTATAACAGAAGGCAATATAGACAAACACAATTTTCTAAATGAGATTCGCTGCCAAAGAAATGTCAAACATATTGCCAGTGCGCAAGAGACCAATACATATTTCTCTGAGGTTGCCATATTTGTACAGTCAGGATTACTCACTGTAACGATTTTCATAATGTTACGATTTTACTAAATCAACCTCGATTATTTTCTAGATCCTTCGGGTACGATCTCTGGATTGTTAAATAAAAACTCGCCAACTTAATTCGCAGTTTCTTTCGTTATAAAGATTCTATCTAATGTCCTTTATTTTCTCAGTAATTCACAACTCAATTATACTGCACTTTACTATTTATAATCACTAACATCAACTTTCACAATTTACTCTACTTAAATGTAATTCCCAACGCGTTCACTTTACGTCTTCACTGATGTTAACGCCAACCAGTTTGCTTTGTCACTAACTTGACTTGCAGCTGAGTGCCGCCTTTATATAGCAGTCGGCTGCTCGCAGACGAAAGCGTAGAAGCATCGAATTGTTCGCTATGGAAGGTTCTTGTTTTATCGTTTCTAGAACGTACTAGTTATCGGCTTCTCTCTTTCATCTGACATTCGCCTCGCATTTTCGCAACAATAAATTTATTTTCATAATTTCAATGACCATAGTTTTTGAAAAAGGCGAAATTTAATTACGGATCACAGCGGATGTTGTCAGAAATTCGCAGTCGCTGCTAAATTGTAATACCCAAAAAATGTTTAAGTGATATAATAATTTTTTTTCTGTAAAAATATGTAAAAGTTATGTATTTTCGTCATGTTTCTGTAAATACATGTGAAGGTTATGTGTTGGGTTAGTGGAGGTTGGTAATACAGTATTAGTTCTGTTCGTTGAGCAGATGGGACAGTACAGTGGACAAGATTCAGTAAAAATTAGCCAGCAAATTGTACAACAGCTGTTTATATTGGTGGTTAAATTTGAATTCGTTCATTTATTTTTTCTGCTTTTAAGTATCTTCCTAAGTGTTTTCATAAAATTGGTAGTTAAATGACATTTTTAATTTACTAATTGCATTCAAAATTTATTGTATTTCAGCAATCATGAGGCGTCCAACGATAAAGATATTAATATTTTTTTTCTAATAGTCTTCTAAAGAACTAATATTTCTATAAAACTTACTTTGCTTAGATTTTCAGTAGGAATGACTGAAATCCCTTATACAGAGTTGCTGAGGAGTGCGCTCAGAGAGCACGGGGGCAAGTCGAATAAAAAGCCCCTTTGCACTCTGTTATGATTGCAGCTTTTCGAGATTTCCTTAAGTTTGTTGACAACCATATTTCGGGCCCCGGCGAAGTCAGTCAGCCTCAGCCCATTTAGAGATGTTTCGTTGTGGAAACTGAATTTTTCAGCAGTTCAACCAAAGATAACCCACTCTGGCGTTAAAATAGCCTAGCTCGATTTTCATATCGTGCCGGGAGCAGCGCTCATAAAAGGCATCTTTGGTTAAATCGTCTTTCTCTTCCGTCGAGGCGTGTCCGCTAATTAACAAATATGTTAAAAAATTTCCGAGGCGTTGTTGTAGTAGAAGTTGATTCGAAGGGCTCGGAGCAGAGGGTTGCAGAGTGTCGATTTTAGGGGGCATGTAGGTAGGTAGGTAGTGTCGTGCGGGGACTCTTTACATGCTGGGCATGCGTTGAGTTTGTCTGCGTCGAGTCTGAATAAGTAGGAGCTTAACCTGCTACAATATCCATACCTAATTTGCGGCATTATTAAGTGGGCCTCTCGAGGCAGCTCGACTATGGGTGATGATTGGACTCCGAGGACGCCATTCACAGGGAGGGAGTCTTTGAAGGTGTTAACTGGCTCCTGGGTAATGGCGTTTAGTGCCTGTCTGTACGCCGTCGTATCCAGCAGTGGCTACACGTTCAGCGTCTATTAGATGTCTTCTGTGATGCTCAGGCGACATCAGGGGATTTCCTGAAAGCCGGTTCTACGCATCGGGGCTGACCAGGAGTTTATCCGACCAAGGGGTGTTGCATATCATAAGGCCCTCTTTGCTCCCGTCCATTTCCTGGGACGGACTTTCCAGGTGCTTAAGAACTAGATCACTCACAGAAAAGACAAACATAAATGGTAGTGGTCGAACAGTGTGCCTTTCGACATTCGCAAATTAATAATAAAAAATACGTATCTATATAGTCATTGTAAAAAAGTTATTTTATTTATGATATGATTAGTTTTAAAATTTTCTTTGTATGGTAAAATAAACGTTGTGCGGATGGGTGTACAATGTTCCTTTTTATTTCAAAAGGAATATGTGTAAAGTTCCAATAGAATGAAGAACAACGACCAAAGATAAGGTTACATGCCAAAAAGGCCTCTGAGATCTTCCATTGTAAGTTTACTGCCTTCCGTCGAACGTGCTCCGGTGAGAACGCCGTCCGCAATAGACATTTTATGATCTTGCAATGCTTTTATCCGCTCTTCTACCGTATCTTTACACATAAATTTATATATAATCACATTTTTCTTTTGCCCCACACGATAAATACGATCCTGAGCTTGCGCCTCCAACTGTGGATTCCAATGTAAGTCAATCATTAACAAGTGGTTAGCACCAACCAAGTTTAATCCTACTCCTCCCGCGGTGAGCGAAAGCAGCAGTATGCGTTTGTTATTATTGGCACTATTAAATTCAGTTACTATACCCTGTCGGTTTTTAACTGGAATCGTGCCATTAAGGGATAATGTAGAGAAGCCCTGTTCTTCCAAATGAGACTTAAGAATATTCAGTACGCTTGTCCACTGCGAGACAACAATAGCTTTGTCATTTCCATTGAGCACTCGGGTCTTCAGAATGTGAAGAACCTTTTTAATTTTAGATGACGGTCGTTTAATATTGAATACTGGATTATTTCGTTGTAAAACTTTTGCGGAGGCTTTAGCAATGATCTCTTCCTCAGGTTTAAGCTCATCTTCACCATCTATACTATGAGTTTTTGATGTGTCATCTATGGCTAATTTATTTAATTGCTCCAACAAATCTATTTTTAGTTTCTCGTCGTCGCTTTCGCTTTCTATATTCTCAGCATTGTCAGCATCGTCAAGCATCTAAAAATATATACCACAATTCATGAAATTTTCACCCTAACATACAAATAATTTTTCGTGATTCTTACCGAATCTATTAAACCTGGATGACAACATATTTGACGCAGCCTTAATAACAAAACCAAAATTTCATGAGACTTGACATCTTTTTGATCACGGTGCAATTTGGTAAACTTTTCATGCACTTTATGATATGCACCGTTCGGATCTTTGGTTTGTAAAAACGTAGGTTTATTACCATCTTCCTTGTAAGCAAAATCCGTGTTGCGTTCAGCTCTCTGAAGGAGAAATTGAGCAAAAAGTGTTCGCGAGTACACCATAATCTTTTGATATACATTCATTTCTTCTTTATCTAAACAGACTTCAATAAGTTCGGTGCGCTTTTCAGGTAAACATTGGAGTGTTCCTCGCTCCTGAAGCATTACTTTAGTTCTACGAAGCATAAGAGTTTTCATCAGTGCATTTAAACGTTGTTGTCCACCGGCACTTTTGTTATCAATCCACTTCTTCCAATGTGGTAGCTCATCAAAAGGAGAGCAACGTAAAAATTTAATAAGCGCGTATGCATCCGCTTCTTTATTTTGAATAGGAGTTCCCGTAAGGGCCCATTTGAATTTTCCTCGCAATGCACACACAGCCATTGACATTTGTGCTTTATGGTTGCGTATAACATGTGCTTCGTCTAATATTATTCGCTGCCATTTTATTCCAAAAAGAGCACCCTGAGATTTTTGCTCACGTGATACGATATTATATGTGGTGACGACAATGTCGTAAGTACGTAGGTGTTTCGGTTTGGTATCTCGATTGTTGCCGTGATGTACACACACAGTAAGCTTATGGCGTTTGACTTTATTGTCAACCTCTTCCTCCCATTGACGGACTAAACTTGCCGGGCATACGACCAAAGTACCACCAGGATAATCTACAAACCATATTCAATGAAAATAATTAAAGCATTTGGTTTAATTGCTTCATATAAAGATACATACAATCTCTTCTGCCTTTCGAAACCCAACCTTCGGCTTCGGCTTCGCTATCAGAATCACTTTTATTGTTTTCTTCTTGTTCCGAATTATTTTTGAATGCGAGTACCAGTGATATCATAGTTAATGTCTTTCCTAACCCCATATCATCAGCAAGAATACCACCTCGCGGCTTTTGATTTTCTCGCCAAGTCATCCAAGCTAGAGCATGTTTTTGATGATTCATTAATGTTATTCGTAGTCCTTCTGGATCTTCAGCAAGTACATCTTCGCCCGGACAAGACTTTAACGAACTATGAATATCCTAAAAGCACAGAAGTATATAAATAATATTATTTAATATTAGCGGGAGAGTTTGGTATCTATCAAGTATTGAACTGCTCAGCTTTGTGTGAATAGTTATAATCCATAAATGTGAAATTGTATGTCACCTTGTGCATAAAATGCAAAGTAACTCATGCGATTAAATGCAGATGACAATGAATCTACAAACATTTTCAGATATCCGTTCTAGTTTTCATCATGGCTATTCGAAATTAGTTTTAGTTTTCAATGTAACAAACCTTTAGTCGTTCAACGGTTAGTTCTCGTTGTGCATTAAATGTAGCCAGACCCTGTTTTCCTGTATGAGTGGGATGCACTTTATTTACAGCTGCAGAAAGATCATCCCAACTTAGGGGTTCAATTTTGTTTTGTACCTGCCGCTGCTGAGGTGGCGATGGATCTTCATCTTCTACCTTGAGAGTGCTTATATATTGAGTTTTAATATGAACGTCATTGCGTAAACGATCAATTCGAAGTGAAAGTTGTCTTCCTCCATCTGGTAAGCTCTTCGATATTTTTTCCAGCAATTTTTCTGCACTGTGTAATTCTATTTTAAGTTCTTGTAACTTTTTTAATTCTTTGTCGTGAAATTCCCTAGAGACAAGTTTAACTTCCTTCAGTACACCTTTTTTGCTATCAGATGTGGCAGCCCATTGGGTGGAAATTTTTGGTTGCACCAAACCTGGTTTTGGATTCGCGCTAGGTGCATTGGATTTTACTTCTATATTTTGCAGATTGCTTTCATCACTACTACTAAGTATTTCTATAGTTTTCTCCTTAAAACTTATAACTTCTATATCACTTTCATCAGTAGACTCAATTTGAGAACGATATTTATCTTTAGGACTCGCTTGATACATAGTAGAGGATAATTTTTCCTTTATAGCCTCTTCAAATTGCATACTATACCGAGCTGAACTTAATGGAGATTCCACAGCTCCAATAAATCTGTTTAAATTGTGTTTGTGTGGAGTTTCTTGTCTATTGAATACTTTTTCTGTAGTTCCTGAAGGTGGTGTTGATTCGACATTAGATTTATCTACAAAACTGGTGCTTTTTTCTGTTTCCGCAATGGAACTATCTGTAGTATTCGATTTTGATGCTTTTTCATCTATGAAATAATTTTTTGAAGCACCATGTTCAGCTTCATTATGAATTGTGTTTGTATCGGCCTGTATGGAATTTTCATCAGAAAGTTTAGAAGAATCTTCTGCATCCGATCGTGCATCAGAATATTCAATTTCGCTGGAGTCAGATAAATCTTTGGGCCTTATTCCAGTAATACTCATACGAGTACGGGGCGATAAGGCCCGTTGGTCCGATTCATCATCATCAGTATCGGATTGAATTATAGCTCGGCGATTTTTGCTTCCCGTACTTCTTCGCCTATTACCAATAATACTTTCATCTGAACCTGCAACCGAGAGTTATTATATACCTATCTAGGTGTAAAATATATAATCAAAATAATCACTTTCTTCCTTAGACTCATCAACATATAGCTCCCCACTGGGTAAGTCAGTATCTGCAAATTGATAAACATTTCTTATGAAATAAAATCAAATATTAACTTCTACTTCCAAACCTTCGTCTTCCGATTCCTCACTGACAATCTCTTCCTCTTGGTCACTGGATACTACTTCATCTGAATCGGACATATTTTCCAACAAAATTTAAACACCTTAATTAACTATCAACAATAATCAGATACACATGTAGCGCGAATAAAAAAGAGCCCAATCTCAAAACTTTTGACATATTCAAATATACGGTTAGTAGGTCTGTTTGTTTTGTATCTTGTTTGCAGTGTTGCCAGAAAACTTTTGTTATATAGATCCAATACCTTCACGGCTACATATTTTGTAATGAACTTTGACTTAAACCACTTGATTGTTAAACATAATTACCCTAATTTGTTGTAAAGCTTATTTATAACAATTAGTATATTTTACGCAATGTTTACTTAGAACTAATTGCAATTGCTACTCTCTTGAATTGCTACACAACTCACTTATTTCATTTATTTAGTTCGGCCCGACATCGAAAAAGCTCTGAAAGCAAGATATGGGGACCATGGGCTCTCGGGTGTTTGCACCGACTTTTACAGGCCTATTCTTACTGTTACCGGTAAAGTAAATTTTGCTACATCGAAATGGAGGACGGAGCACAACAAAATAAATAACTTTTATTTATTTGTTTATTAAGTTATAAATAATTGAAAAGCATAGGCGTATATTTTGAGAGCTCAACAACAACAGCACAAATTGGAAGAAAGTTAAATAAGAGATTATTTACGATTTGGTAACAAAGCTCGGTATGTCGTGAAATATATTTTACTGATGAAGCAAAACAAAAAATTAATAAAACATTACTATTTATCGACCCACAAACGGACTCAATCCTTTTGAAAACAGATTGTCAAACAAATGGCCATGATTTAAGCAAAGTTTATATTTGGACTAATGTTCATTTCTGGAGCTGTGTGATATTCTAGACTTGCGAGAATTATATGAAATTTTATTATAACCGTTTTGATTTTATTAAGAATAACATACAGAAAGAAATCTGAACATTTTAACAAATTAAGTAATATGGCGACTTATGACCAAAACTTTATTTTGTTTTGTTAGCCCCGTTAGAAAAGTTGAACTCTTTGAGAATAGAATTTTGCCATTGAACTTAGAATATGTTTCAGGTTGAAAACTTGTGTAATCATATTGGATGTGCAAATCGTTCGGAAGTACAGCGAGCTCTAAAGCAAAGAACGACAAAAAAGTTTTGAAAAATTGAACAACCTAAATGCAGGAAATATAATTATGGCGGTTAGGTCCTCAAATTCGTGTTTTCAAAGCAGTACTTTTCAATTTGTGAGCTTGAGAATTAAGAATACTATATATTGCAACGAAACACCTTAGATTATTAAATAAAAGTCGCAAAACTTATTGTACAGTTTCTTGATTGTAAGGGATATAATCAAATAAATAACCACTGTGTTGGCCGCTCTCTTGTATACCCCACCAATTGCACGAACTCATTTCTGGGTAGGTTTTTTCGGATATAATTTTTCTCATTGAGTTAAGAAGAGAGTACCAAATACTAAGATTTAGAATTAGCATCAAAGAATGCTAAGATAATGCAAATGCAGCTAACATATTAGTTTAGCGTAGCAGGTGTCTTTCCATTCGCTGAGCTAATCGTTCCATCGGCTGCGGTATTCGCCGATACCCACTCGTGGAGGACCTATATATCTTACGCAAAACTTTGCACTCGAAAACTCCTAACGCCAACTCATCAGATGTCATCGTTCATGCCTCCGCACCATATATCAGTTCGGCAGTGATGAGCGACTTGTAGATTTTGGCTTTCATTCGTCGCAAGAGGTCTTTATTTTCAATTGCCTAATCTGTCTTAAGTGGAACCAGTTAGTAAGTGTGACTCTGCGCTGAATTTTAAGGCTGACATTGTTGTGTAGTTTGTTGTTGGTGTTAATGATGGTAACAAGACAGACGAAATCATCTACGACTCCAAAGATATGACTGTCAACAGTAACGTGGGAGCAGAGTTGTAAATGTGCCGACAGGAGTTATTTCATCCTGTCCGCCTTCACTACCAAGCTAAGGAGATGCGCTTCCTTATCCAGTGTGAAGAAAGCAGAACTCATCGGTGTACGCCAGCAGCTATTCAGCTTTGCAGCTCTTATTATTTTCACCAGCAATAAATTAAGGAAGTCACACGATAAGGAGTCACCTTGTTTGAATCCTCGTTTTGTGTCGGACGGCTCGGAGATCCTGATGGTGCTTTTGCTGCTTTCCTTAACGTCAGTCGTATAAATTTTGCGGGGATACCGAATTCACACTGATAAGGTCCAATCAGTTTGTTGACGGTGGGATTTAGTCTTAAACGGATTGAACAGAGCACACTAAGGTGCCTTGATAACTCTTCACCGCCATGTTAAAAAAGCTCAGCCTGTAAGCCATTCCCTTCAGCCGCTTTGTTGTTCTTTATGTGTATGTGTATGCTATTTATTTTTCTTCATGTTGTTTCAACAAGTCTAAAAAACAAACTGGGCAAGACCATCATACGCTCTGTTTTATTTATTGACTATTTTTTAATTTTCTACACAGTACGGCAATATCGTTTTTGGGCAGTTTCGAGAAGAGCCGCTGTAATCTGTAAATACCGAAATTTCGCCTTTTTCGAGAGCTTTTGTAGAGTTTATTAGAAAACGCTGGAGAAGTATAGATGTATTAATAAAAAGTTTAATTCATTAACTTTCGAACAGCGTAGGCGGGAAGTGCCCCGCTCTCTCCCTTCGCGCCCGTCAAATTGGGATACTTCTGTAACGATTCCAATTCAAAGTATTGAATGGAATATTGTCAAATTAAACTGAATAGAACCTGTAAATTAGACAGAAGAGAATGAGCCTTATATTTTTAATTTCTGATATTCAAAAAAAAAAAAAAAAATAATAAATAAATAAAAAATACATGGCAACCGACGAAGTTTTAAAGGAAAAATAGTATTATTTTGCGCAGCTGTGCAAACCCTTGAACGAAAAATCTTGTTTCACCATACTTGCCACATCAGCGACATCAAGTCTAAGTGATATATATACAGGGTCCGCCACGTAACTTTTTTTTTTTAAGTGCAATAAAACAAATGCCCATTCGGCAAAGGCAAACCGCATCGGATGGTCTCGTGGCTTCAATTCTTGAGCCAATTGAACTTTGTACGGTGTCATACCAAGGTCTTTTTTCAAAATTCGCCGAAGGGACGTCTCGAAAATGTCCAATTGTTGAGAGCGACTCTTCACTGATGTTCCGGGCGCCTCACGCACACTCTCGGTCACAGCAGCTATATTACCGGCAGTACGCACTTTTTTTGGTTTCTCAAGCGTTGGTTTATCAATAATTGTGCCGGTTTCTCTCAATTTTTTCAAAAGCGCACATACGGAGCGGACGGTGCTTTGTTACGGCTCATTTCCGTGCGTAATTTTCGCACACATTTTCAAAGTAAAACTGCACTATTTTAACGCGTTCCTCAATCGTATACACAACCATTATCGTTCAGCGGAAGGATAAAACTAACTTTCTGTCAAATCAGATGTAACATCNATTTATTATTTATTATTTATTATTTATTATTTATTATTTATTATTTATTATTTATTATTTATTATTTATTATTTATTATTTATTATTTATTATTTATTATTTATTATTTATTATTTATTATTTATTATTTATTATTTATTATTTATTATTTATTATTTATTATTTATTATTTATTATTTATTATTTATTATTTATTATTTATTATTTATTATTTATTATTTATTATTTATTATTTATTATTTATTATTTATTATTTATTATTTATTATTTATTATTTATTATTTATTATTTATTATTTATTATTTATTATTTATTATTTATTATTTATTATTTATTATTTATTATTTATTATTTATTATTTATTATTTATTATTTATTATTTATTATTTATTATTTATTATTTATTATTTATTATTTATTATTTATTATTTATTATTTATTATTTATTATTTATTATTTATTATTTATTATTTATTATTTATTATTTATTATTTATTATTTATTATTTATTATTTATTATTTATTATTTATTATTTATTATTTATTATTTATTATTTATTATTTATTATTTATTATTTATTATTTATTATTTATTATTTATTATATATTATTTATTATAATTGAAAATTACAAAAAATGAAAACACTTAAATTAATTTATGAATATTCAGTAGCTCTAAAAAGTTCAGAACATTTTTGATATAGTCTTTATTTGGTATGGATAACATGGATGAAGGATCTTGAAGAAAAAATTTTGATCGGTAACGGTTTAGAGATGGACATTTTTAAGGATATGGGTAATTGTTAATAGCAATGAATTGCAAAAATGGCACGTTGGCTGTGACTTCTTCAACATCAAGTGAAGATTTGTAGGACGGGTGTGTCCAAGGTGTAGCCTTATAAAGCATTTGTTCATTGCAGTGGTGGTTGCGGTAGGTAGTACTGATTCGACTTTGTTTGGGTTAATACTTTTGTACTGACTAGTCCAGTCTCTAATCCAATCTGCACGATCACAATTGAATTGAGAAGTTGAAGAAGGTATCTGATTGGAATGTGGTAATAAATTAAAAATAATTTGTATAGGAAAATGATCACTGTTGTGGAGATCATCTATTGTATTCCAGCAGGCGAGAGGAAGATACTGTGGAGAGCATAGAGATAAGTCTACGTTGGTGTATGTGCCATGTGTTGAAAAGTGGGTTGGTACATTTTCGTTTAGAATTACTAGGTTGGAGCTTAGTATGAAATTTTCAATTATTATTTGGCGTTACAATAGTGGGAGCCCCACAAAGGACTCCAACCACTGAAATCTCCCAACATTATAATAGGAGTATTTATGTTATTGGTTAAATTATGAAGGTCAGCTATGGTCAATGAATATAAATGCAGGAAATTGTTATTGGATGGGGAAAATTGATTTCTACAGATTTTAAAATAAGACTTCACTGAATGCTGATAAGTTTATGTTGAATAGACTTATGTATTAATATAGCACAGCCCTGTTTGGAAGTGTGTGTAGTAAATTAGAAAAGTATCCATCGTAATGTTTTGGGCAATAAGGTTTGGCGCTATCAATCAAATGCATTTTTTGATGGCAGGGAATTTGAAGGGAATAAGTTTTTAGTAGAATTTCTGTTTCTGTGTAGTTTTTGTAATATCTTTTACAATTGCAACATTGCAGTAAATTAAGAGACATATCAATAAAGAGTAACGTTTAAATTTTAAGTGCAATAACTAACATGTTCCAAGTCGTCAGAAATGTCTTCGAACTGGTTTGACAAGTCTATGTTGTTGGTATTTCGGTGGTATTGTTTGTGTGACCTGAGAGGTCGTACTGAAAGTTATGCTGAGATGTGTAACGTGCTAAGAGGGAGAGTACTTGATCTTGAGAATACTCATTGATGTTATTGTTGTTATTCGATATTTGTGTTTTCTGTGCATCGTTCTGTTGATTGTTATTTTGTTCATGATTGGAGTTTGATTTGTGGTTGTTGGATTTGAGATTTTGATGGTCTGCATGAGCTGTTGAATTTGATATGTAGTGGCAAGTAGGTTCTTGTATATTTACAGGAGGAATGTTTTCAATTTCCTTTTGTTTTATTTGTTTATCAGAAGAGTGGTTTATTATTTGCGAAAGAGGTACAGTTGTGTAGTATTTGACAACTTTTACGTCGCATGGGATTGGATATGGAAGGTTCAATTTTTAATTTGTCCCATGTCACAAGGAGTACACTGGGCAGTTCAAACCTGTCGAAAGTTAAAACAATAAGACCAGTATGAAGAAGTTTTTCTTTAACTGGTCTGGTGAGTTTGTAGACATATTTGCGAGCTTAGTTCATTAATAAGTTCTTTTGCGTCAACCTCAGCAAGATTTCGATCAAAAACAACACCTTTTGCTGAGTTTAAACTAGAATGAAGTTTCACTGATATTGCACACAAACCACAGAGGTCTTTTGATTTTAGAAATTCTTCAGTAGATTTAACATTGCTTGCTAGGATTAAGATACTGATAAGATTCGATTCCTTTTTTAATTGCAAATGAGCTTAATTTAGGAAGACGTTTGTCTGTATCCGTAGGGGAGATCACTAAGTATTTAGCATTTCTCACTATTTTTCTTATTAACGGTAACTTAGGAAAATTTTTGACTTGCAGATCAATTTGTGACCTTTTAGGCGATGGTAATCATCTGATAGTAAGGAAAATCTATTTAAGGAGTTATCCGGTGGCCGGGAGCCATTTTCACATTTGTTTATTATTCCCTTTTATTTAACGTTCTTAAATTGTACCAACAAAAAGGAAAAACAAAGCTAAGTACGAAATAAGTTATCGAGAGACACACAAGAGAGCGCTTTCAGTAGTTAACACGTCCGATCGCTTTCGTAGCTAGTCGATGACTGATATTTAGTATATTAATATACGTTCTTTGGTAAGTCTATAATAGTACTTCAATTCGAATGCTGCTAAACTCACGGTACTATCTGACGAATGCGTCAGTGAATTCTATTCGAAAATAACAAATATCATTCGACAATAAGCTAGCATTCGGAACGGTTGGAAAATGTAAGTTTATAACGGCATCTTTTGTTTTTTTTTTATATATAACATTATTTTTAGGGAAAATAAATCAAAAAAAGCACATAACAAAATTAGACAATTGGAAATTACATCCCGCTTTTCATTTGCAGTTATTTTAAACACAATATGTCTTGGACAAAAAAGTTTTTCTATTGCAATGAAAACTTACCATAAATATTTCGATATCGTCTGCTGTGCAGATCCCAATTGACAACCTTGCCCTATTTGATGTGGTTGAGCTTAAACTTTCAAAGCAGCTGCCAGACTTAGGATTGGGGATATTGCTTCTTAACGATGAGACGATTTTAATTTTGTCTCAATACTTTAAAACATATAAAAATGCTTCTTTATTGAGCCGAAAGTTTCATTCATCGCTCAGGCTCAAAATGTCTGATTGATTCCTTAAATGTTTTCGCTGAATCTCAACTTTTTTTTCCTCGTCAACCGGCCACTCCACCGAATCCATTTTTAAATAGTTTTCGCACAGATTTTGAAACTTTAACCGACTTTTGCATGAAATATTGAATTTCTTATATATTTTGACACGCCTCGCGTCATTTATGTAAACTTCGAATATAGTGCTGCCCCATTTACGTTGCGACTGCGGAAGGCGAATTTACAGAAGGTGAAGTTGATGTTGTTGTTGAACTTTTCGCTAGCCCCGCTTAGGTACAGGTTTGATCAGTCTAAGTCGCCGAGGTCATCTAATGGTAGGTCCAGGAAACGAGCTGTTTCGACGAGGTTGGACCAGAGGGAGAGGGGGGTTAGCTGAGTTGGTTTGAGAGTGCATGTGAAGAGGTGGTTAGTGTCGTGCGGAGACTCTCCACATGCAGGGCATACGTTGGGTATGCTGGGGTCTTGTCTGGATAAGTAGGAGTTTAACCTGCTACATAACCAGACCTAAGTTGTTTCAGGGTGAAGTTTTCGCATCATATGATTGCTTGTTCCATGATCCATTTCAAAAAATTACACAAACAAAATACATTGAATGATTTTCGTTTTTGACCTTTCGAAACTATGATTACACAAACAAAATACATAGGCTTTTTGTTTTCCTATTCTTGCTGCAAGTTTTAGATAGTGCCATTATAAGTTCGGATCGGATTGCTTTTCGAATTGTAATACGTAGTAGGGACCCAGCTCTCGATTTCGAAAGCGAATTCCTGCAGAGATTGGTTGGATTTTTGGTTGCAATTCTC